AAGGGTCAGAGCACAGAGCACAGTCCGATCCTTCCACACAAGGCCTGTTATCTGCTATCAATGCCGCTTCCTATAATTCCATCTGTACTTTAACCTCAGCAAACACGTCATTGTCTGTGAACCTCACCTCTCCGTGCGGCATACAAAGGTCTATGGCGAGTACTGCCGACTTCCCAGAACAACTGCTTCATGTAACGCCATTTAAATGCCTGGAATTAAAAAAAATTATAATAATTTAGAAGAAACAGAAAAGGAAAAAAGAGACGTGATATCTTTTCAGCTGACGTCACTATTTGCCAGGAGCTGGGCGGGATGCTGGCCAGAGCGTCCCAGGTTGCTATGAGCCAGGCACGGAGATGTGTAAGGGCCATAAACATCTCCCTGACTGGCTCTTAGCAACCGGGGATGCTCTGACCGGCGTCCCGCCCAGCTCCTGGCAAATAGTGACATCACTGGTTGCCAGCAGCTGGGCCAGACACCGGCCAGAGCGTCCCAGGTTGCTAAGAGCTGGGCAGGGAGATGTGTGAGGGCCATAAACATCTCCCTGACTGGCTCTTAGCGACCTAGGATGCTCTGGCCGGCGTCCCACCTGCATACATTGCTCTGGTTGCTAAGGGCTGAGCGGGGAGCTGTGTATGGCCCTTACACATCTTCCCACCTCCCTCTTAGCAACCTGGATGCTCTGGTCGGCGTCCTGGCCCAGCTCCTGGCAACCAGTGACTTAATTGGTTGCCAGGAGCTGGCCGGGACACCGGCCGGAGCAGCCCTGACTGCTAAAATCGGGGCGGTGTTGATTCCTGTGTGGGCCATGCTATGCAGACTTCTACTCATACATGACACATAAAGGCCTGGCCTCCCTGTTGGGGGGATTTCCCCTCACACCCCTTAAAAGTATCCAACCCTTCCTGGCTCTGCTAAGGAGAGTGTTTTTTTGCTCCCTATGTCCCCAATCAAGGGATCTCCCTCCTTTCCTGTCCTGGTGACACTTGTGAATGGAACAGGAAGTGAAGGGAAATCTCTTAAAGTGTTGCACAGCAATAAAAGCCTGACAGCGGATCTAATTCTTCCCCACGATACTAATGAGATTGTTTTATTGCTGCCTTCCCTTCACTTCCTGTCCTGGTGACAACTATAAATGGAACAGGACGTGAGGGGAAATCTCTTAAAGTGGTACACAGGCAGCAAATAAAACGTGACAGACGTGGCAACCCTTCAAATGGAATAAAACTGGGCTGGGGTGGGGTTGTGAATGCCAAGTGACCCCATTCCCCCAGCAAGCTGGCAAACCCAAACACAGGCCGTGCATTCGCCATGTGGCACCCCTGGTGACCCCCTGCTGGTACAGAGGTGTGTGACACCAGGTGAGCCATGATGCTGTATCCACCTCACTCACCATCCCTCCTCATCCTCCTCCAGCCGGGGTACCACTGACTACCGCCCCTCCGTCACTCCAGCTGCCCAATCAGCTCCAAGGAAGAAGGCGGCCCCCTGGGCCAGACAAAGGAGTGACAGGAGGCTTGCATATCCAATCACGATCATACTTTCTGGATGGGCGGAGCCGCCTTTACCCAATGCTGCCGCCGCTTCCCTTCTTGCGCCGAGGGGCGGTCCCCCTGCTCCGAAGATTGACACCCAGTTTCCAGCCCTAGCCCCATCCCCTCCTCAGCTGTCCAATAGGCGCTTAGGAAGGGGGCGGTGAACGAGTCGAGACAAAGGAGTGACGGGCGTTTGGGAGAGCCAGCCGCATTCTCCCCTGCCGGTGGGCGGGGTAGCCCCTGTCCAATGGCGTCGCGGTGGTTTCCACGCGCTGAGGGGGGCCGGGCCCTGCAGGAGAGAGCGACAGGGAGAACGCCCAATAAGAGAAGTGGGCGGGACGGACGGCGGCCAATGGACTGGCAGTGGAGTGCCTCAAATGGTCGGGGGCTCAGCTGATGTCTTCCAGTGGAGTTGTTTTGAACTGCAGAGAAGGCGAGTGCGGGGGGCACAGGGGGACATGACACCATGACAGCTGCTGCCATCCCTTGGCCGGTGGAGCTGGGGCTGACCGTGCTGTCCACGGGGCTGTGCTCGCTATTCTTCCTGAACGTCTATGTGCAGCTCTGGCTGCTGCTGCACTATAGGCAGAAGAGGCTCAGCTACCAGAGCTTGCTGCTCTTCCTGTGCCTGCTCTGGGCTGCCTGCAGGACCGTCCTGTTCTCCTTCTACCTGACCAACTGTGCCCGGGCCAATGAGCTGCAACCCTTCCCACACTGGCTGCTCTACTGCTCCCCTATCTGCCTGCAGTTCTTCACCCTGTGTCTGCTCAACCTCTACTTTTCCCAGGTAAGTTATGCTGCACTTCCTCTTCTCTCCTGCGGAGGACGTGCTGCCTCTGCATCGGAATGGGGGAAAATAAAGGGTGCAGTTCCCTATCAGGAAGCGTGCAATGTCTCTCCTTACCGCTAGGTGCGTGCTAATTCCCCTTGAAGTACATACAGCATGCAGTTCCACTTGCTCGCCATCAGGGGGCGTGCTGATTACCTGCAAAGTTAACAAGCATGTAGTTACACTTGGCGGGGGAGGGGTGTGCTAAATATCTTTAAATCCAGCTCACCCTATTGCCTGAATTGGGGAGGGGGGGCTTATTTATTTTGGTGTAGTTCCTCTTCTATCAGTTCTCCTTTTGGCATTGGGTGACATCACTCTAGAGAAGTTTATATGGTGGCAGTTCATCCTCTGGTCTGCAGGGGGTGTGCTGCTACCTGCTTCCCCATCTGCCTGCAGTTTTATGCTCAGCTGTGATGTCCACTGGCATTTCTTCATGGGGAGTAGTTCCTCTTTGTTTTCCTGCAGGGGGCGCACAAGCTGCCTACAACAATAAAAGGCCATATGTTTTTTGAGTTGCTGGTTTTTGCTGCGAAGTTGCTTGTCCCATCATCAGAGGGTCAAACATGGGTTACTAACACATGGATTGCATGTTCATCCTCTGACCTGCAGGGGGCACCCTGCTCCACCCACAGATTAAAGACAGTTGCCATTGTTCTGTGTTCAAGTTGTCATCATTGATTAAATCTCTGTATTCCCCCCCCCACTACCACCACCACCGATATTCTGCCTCTGGCAGCTTTCTACATTGCAAATATTGGATTTTATAATTGTTCTCTTTCCTCTCCTTCTTATTGCGATGGATACAATTCCATCACTTTGTGCACTGGCAATCCTTAGGATGTCATTTTAGGCTTTTTCCTGCAGGGGGCGCATTAGCTCCCTTTCAGAATAAAGGGATGCTGTTGTTGTTGTGTTCCGGTCTCCTGCAGGTAAGTTCTTATATAGCTCCTTCCCCCCTCCTCCTCCTGTGCGGAAGTAGGTGACATCATTTGCTTTGCACACCACGGCGCCCGTTAATGTGCTTGCTCACGCTGACCTCCTGTGGGGATGCAATTCCTCCTACTGCCTCAAGGGGGAGTGCTTCCTTCCCTTCACAATGAATGGAGGTCTATGGGATACATCTCCTGCGTACAGGGGCTCAGCTACATTTGGTGCTGGCACGGTTGGTAGCCTGAGGGTCACCTCTGTGGTTGGATTCATTTGCAGCACGTTGATCTCG